GAGGGGAGGCCCTGGGCGCGCCCTGGCCACTGCCGAGCTTGCTGATGCGGCCGCCCGGGGACCCCAGACCCGCCCCTGGCCGCCCTGGGTCTCAGCCCCAGGCCCCGCCCTCGCCGATTGGGCGAGTCCCCGGCCCCCTCCCTGGACCTCCCTTCCTTAGCGGAGGTGTGTGAGTGGGGTCACCCCACGCTCCCGGGGATGGGGCAGCCCCCACCGCGAGGGGCCAGAGACCGTCCCTCTGATGCCATCCTCGCGGGGACCGCCTGGGCTGCGGGAAGGCGCCCGGCCTGGTGGCGGTGCCCGTGCCAGCCCCTCTGAGCCAGGCGCCTTGCAGATGAGGACGACGTGCACAGGTGCGGCCGCTGCCAGGCGGAGTTCACCGCCCTGGAGGGCTTCGTCCAGCACAAGCTGCAGAGGGTCTGCCAGCGGGCCCCCCAGGACACCCTGCCCGCCCCCCCCGCCACCCTGGGGCCCACCCTGCTGGGCCGGCAGGTGAGCCCCACCACCACGCCTCGCCCTGGCACCACCGGGGCAGCGGCACGGGAGGCAGCCACAGAGGGGGCGTCCACCTGGGTGCCGTGGGGCGGGCTCTGCCGCCAGGCGCCGGGGGCACAGCCTGCGTCCTTGGGGCTCGCCACGGGCTGGCCCGAGAGACGCCAGCTCCGGGGCCCGGCCCGTTGCTGGTGTCCATCGGTGCCGGCGGACAGGGCGCACACAACCTCCGGGCTCCGGCTGCCCACGGGACAGGTGCACCGCCAGCCGCGGGGCGCAGGAACAGGCCAGGAGACTCAGAGAAGCCCGAGTGCTAGGGCCGGGGCCACCTCTCTGCGCCTGCTGTCCCTGCCTAGGGGCAGGCCCAGGCCACGCGGCCCCTGGCTGGGACGCTGCGCTGCCTGCCGGGCCGCTTCCTCCCGGGACCCCTGAGGGCTCTCCCTGCCGGGGCCTGGCCCGGGCGGCCCAGCGTGGTGAGGGCCAGGACCTGGGCAGGAGCCCCCAATGCAGCTGGCCCCGTGGACGTCACCCGCAGCTGAGCCCTCTGGCCCTGTCCTGTCGGCAGGTGGCACCGGCGGTGGCAGGCCGGGAGGAGCCCATCACCGTGGCCCACATCGTGGTGGAGGCGCCCGACGTCGTGGGTAAGCGCACGGCCGGCCGCCCAGGGCCGGCCCCAGGCACTGCACCTTGGGCTGGGCAGGAGGGGCAGTGCTGCCCGCGCCCGCCGCTCTCCGAGCAGGCCAGGCTGGGACGAGTCTTCTCGCCCGCCTCCCGCCGGCAGGGCTGCAGGCGCCCTCGGGCAGAGCCCCGCCCCCTGGCTGCAGCGGGCAGCGGCGTGGGCAGCCTGCGGGTCCCCTGACCCAGGCACCAGCCCTGCGAGCCCCCCAGCTGTGCCAGGGCCTCCCGCCTCCGCCTCGCGCCGGTCCTGCGCCCCGCCCCGTGCGGGTGGGGTGTGGTTGTGCCACCGCGTGCCAGCCGGCCCCGACCTGCCCCGACTGCCCCGAGCTGCCCGCACGCCCATCCGCCGCCTCCTGACGCGTGTTTATGAGCGTGAGCCCGCGCCCTTGGGTGGCTGCTTCTGGGTGGGCGTGCCGCGGACCGCGGGGCAGGCGGCTGGGGCGCTGGTATGCCTGGGGGGGCCACGGGGAGGGGAGGGGAGGGCTCCTGCGCGGGCCGCCGGGCAGACGTGGAGGCGCAGTGGGGAAG